CTTTTGCCGTAACTCTATCTCTTTTTGCAAATCTAGTAGAGTATCAAACCTTAGCCGAATTGCAAGTGGATCATCCTTAGGCCTATCTAGATCAAATACAATAAATTCGTCTTTGTGTAAGTAGCTGTTAATAACCATTGATATATTTTTTACATCATCTGTATATCTACGAATAATTTTAGAGACATCTTCATATGAGCTACCAGAATTAAAGAGTACTAAGTAATTAGCATTTTCATGCATGAATATAGTGATTTTATGATATTTTTGTGCCACAAATATATATGAAATATTTCGATATTATCCATTTTCAAAAAATTGGCCAATTCGATTTTGTATATGTTCTGAAGCGAAACACAAATCCTCAAAAACAATTGCTATACTTCATTCAGGTGAAAATGCTTTTACACTAGGAATTTTTTCTGGTGATATATAGCTAAATTGTATATTTTCATAGTAAGGTGCTTTCAGGTCTTTTGAAATTATGCCATACATATATCTAACAAATGCCCATTTTGGCTCATCAGGATAATAACCACAGACTATTAAATCATCACAAGAAATATATCTCCTATCACCTTTTTTTCCTTTATATATGTATTTAGCTTTATCACTGAGAAAAAGATTTGTTAAGATATTAGTCTTACCTGATCCACTTTTTCCTGTAACTATCATTCTAAAGGGCCATGTTGGACTAGCTGGATGAGATTGACAACAAGATGCAACATGTTTATTAGCTTCATCTATATCTATAAGGAATAGTTTTATAGGTGGAAGTTCTTTTTTTCAGTTTTTTTGTATAATGGATTGGGAATCCATAACTATGATTTTTCTAAATTGGATAAAAAATTTCTTTTCCTTGATAATTCACTTCACTTTGTTTATTCATAGTTGGTTTATATATTCCAGAAAACAAATTGCCAGAGGCAATCATATAATAAGTATAATCTGGCTTCGAGTTCAAAGAACGAGAAGGTGGGGTTTGATGAAAAATATTACTATATATATACCAAATAATTAATATCACTATTATTATAATAATGACAATTTTAATAATAGGAAGATTTTGATACTTATCATTAACTAAAGCCTTGCCAATGCATACTGCTCCTTCTATTGTAATATCTTGAATCAATGACTCCGGATTCTGCTTATTTGTGATAATTGGTAATATTTCATTTTCCTTTATTACTAGCTCATTTTTACTTTTAAAATATTTTGCAAGACTTTTAGATGAGGCATAGTCTCGAATCTCTGATTCCTCTGATGTGTCTCCAGAATTCGATATGAAACTTTGTTCCTCACTCTGTATATTTTTTTCTGTACCTCCCCTAATTATCAATATATCCTTTGTTTTCTGCGAAGCAGAACGTAAAGCACCTAAACACTCAATTTCATTAATTTTTAAAGCTAATTCATCCTTTGTATTCATTAGTTCATTCTTTATATTGATTAA